GCTCGAGATAGTACTGCACGAAGGAAGAAATATAATATAAAATGCTTAAATAACATTGATATAATGAATGTATACATAAAACTGTTTGTTTAATCAAGGCATATTATGAACGCCGCACTGTTTTCGAAATATGAATGCTTGGGGGGACTGACGGGGAAACATTTTAAAAGATGCAGTATTTTAACTATTGAAAAAATATATATAAAAAATCAAAATGCATTATTGAAATATATGTTTTTCGGTAAAAGTGTGTAATCGGTGATTAGAAAGGATGGTAAACCACAGTAAGAGAGATTCATGTAGATATGGATTATTGAGTATTATTTCTTTCTACATAAAAAAAAAAGATTAAAAACAAAATAAACCATGCAGTTGGAATGCATTTAAAAAGTCTCCGATCTACTGCGATAGTTTAATTATATGTGTATTTATAATCTAATATTGATCCTCAAACTATATGACTCTCTCAAATAATTGTCTTATAAGTACTCTGATTTCTCCAACTTAATTTTCAAAAATGTCTAAGGTGAACTTTGACTTTCTACCTATAGCAAGAGAAAAAAAAATATTTCAGAGAATTTATCAGTTGCTTGCTATATAAAGGTCATATTACCAGGAAATGGTTATGAGTTAATGTCATTATAATGTTTGATAAGATTGGAACAACATTATCTTACTATAAAAATGTAGCAAGTTAAATGCAAAATTTAGATACAGCAAAATTTAACAAAATGCTGTATGGTTGTAAACCATACCCAACATATAACAAATAAAATGCTCATACTGATATGCATCTCTGATGAGTCAGATTCGATACTTCACCAGGTTTTTGTACCAAGTGCCAGATTCATGTATAAAGCATAATTATGTTGTTTTAAATCCGTGCATTTGTAATTTTGACACCAATATTGAATTTTCTGCACCGCTGATTAAGATAAATTTGAGAAGAGAATAAATGTTTAGCATTAAGATATCTATGACTAATTTAAAGTATGAAAGTATATACTTAAATATTTAACAAATACTTTCAGTGATCATTTTGATAGAACAGCGCTTATCTTAATTACAAAAGTTAAAAATTGTTACGTATGCTTTTTTATTTACCTGTTCCTTCTTCTGTCGTTTCTGCTCTTCATTTTGAGAATAACACAGATATATATTTTGTATCATGTCAATTAACATACGTTTATTTGGACTACAAAATATACAGAACAAAGAACAAACATTTAAAAATAAAACCGAAACTTCAGTGTTGTTTTTTTAATTTGATTGTTGCATGAGGATTATAAAAGCAATGATAAACATATTTTTAAGCATTCAGATTGTCAGGCATACTACTTACTCTAATATTGTCTTCAATAAAATCTAAACATTTATTCCAAAGAAGCTACAAGGAACAGCGTGCTTTTTTTTTTTTTTTTTTAATTATTAGGAAAATTGTTAGGCATGTTTTTTCATTTACCTGTTTCTTCTGTTCTTGTCTCAGGTCTTCAATCTGAGGATAACACAGATATTAATTTTGTATCATTTTAATAAGCATCGGTTTATTTGGACCGCAAAATAAACGGAACATTGAACAACATATAAAAATACAACAGAAACTGGATAAAAAGTGGAGTAATTAATAACTTA